ACGGCGGTCTCGTAAGTTTTCGTAATATTACAGAACGTAAGTTTACGCAATATTACGCCCTATTAAATTTACTGATGCATGCATGTTCAAAATCTGAACTAAATAAAATTTGAAATTCCAGATTTCCATTTTTATATTTAATTTTACATTGAACTGTTTGCTGATTATTTCTGCGTCCCCATGTAGTTTTTATAGAAAGGTTATCAGGAATTGGATACTTTTTAGAAGGTAAAGTATAATAAAGTTCAGAAATTTTAGGATAAAATTCTTCAGTTTCTATAAAATAATTAAAAGTTCATTGTGTAATATTATTTTTTACTTCTTTATATATAATTATAGGATATTTAGGATAATCTTCTAACTAATAAGTATTGATTTTTTTTGCTTCTTCGATTTCAATTATCATTAAATTGAGATTAAATTATTATAAACAAATTATTGCAAAATTTTTAATTTTCAATATTTATAATAAATTACAATCATAAAAATATAATAAATGATTGGTTGTTAATTTTATTAAAGAGAATTAACAATTACGAAAATATGACAATATAAATAATTATTACTGGTAATTATCAATGTCAAATGACCCACCCCAGTCTGTCTTATTGTCAAAAAATTTTAGGGTATTAAAAATCTGTTGTACATATTAGCCCATATGTTGTAGTAAATGAATATGTTAATTAACTACAAAGTGATTTTTGTATTAATTTTTTTCACACTTGCATGATGTGATACATTTATTATATAATTTTTTTCAAAATTAAAAATTATACGTTCCATATGGCTTCTAATGACTTTCAAAAATGCATAAAATGTTACTACCTTAAGAAAAGTTATCATTTATTAGTAAAACTGGCTGGAAATTAAAGACATGTAAAATTTGTCGTAATCAATCATCTGATTTTTATATTATGAAAAATTCTGGTAATAATAATCATGAAACAGATGATGAAATATCACCTTTAACAATGCAAAAAATAATGTTTAATAAAATAAATGCTGTTTCCCAAAATGATTTTATGGAAAATGAGCTTTTAGGATCTTATTTTATGTGTGTAATATCAACAAATTTATTGGAAGGTAAATCACAAGAAAAAGTGAGACAAATAGTTAAAATTATAATGAAAGGTGACGGATATCATTATATGTAAGTTAATTATTTTATATACTGTATATTTATACTTAAATAATATTTACTAATAAAAATGTATTATTCTAGATATAAAAATGAATATATTTCTAAAAAAAAGTAATGCCATCCATAAAATTTGGTATATTTGCTCCTAATCTATATTACTTGCAAAAAGATCATGAAAACATGAAGATTCAAAAAAACATAGGGATCGAGAATTTATGGATAGATTTGATTGTAAAGATCTTGTAAAAATTTCAATTGATATGTAGAGCAAAAGTACATTCTAAACAAACATATTGCATAAACGTCCTGAGCGATTTGGTATTACTGAAATCATTAAAGAATATATTCTAAAAATTTATTATCATATCATAACATAATAATATAGAATTAACCTTAGATAAATAAATAACACTAATATTATAATACTGTTATGTTTTATTTACTAAAGATTTTAATTAATTTGAATATATATATTGGTTGTTGAGTTTATAATAAATATAATAGCAAATTTAATTATAGTCAAAGCTCTTTATAGTGAACTCTTAGTTCTAATCATTTTTGTTTACTATAATAAGATTTTATTAAGAGTTCACTATATCGAGAAAAATTTATTATAAAAAATTGATTTGGTGAATTAAAAATAATTCACTATAATGTGATTTTACTATAACAAGATTCATTATAACGAGCTTTGACTATATTCAATAATTTTTTAATTTATTCAAAATATTTGAAATATTGAAGTACATCAATAAATTATTTAACAACTATATTTACTATAATATTAATTAATTTAAAAATTTTAATTAAAAATAATACATTACAATAGAGACAGTTTCAAATACTCAGGATGCCTTACATTAAGAGAATTATACATTATTAATTATGAAATTTTATGTTTATTTACCATAAACATTTTCAAATCTACTTTTTTATATGTATAGACTTGAGGTTAGTACCAGTTAATTTTTAACCAGTTAATTAATGATTAAGACATTTGCTAATCATTTGAAGATATTTTTTTAAAAATATCTAATAATATTAACCTGGCTGAAATTTTAATTTTCGGGCAGAATTAAAATTTTTTTGCGATTATAAAAATTTCGCCAAATTTATAGTATCGGCCTGAATTAAATTTAACAGTTAATTAATGGTTAAAGAATTTTTAACTGGTAAGGTTTTTTGGCTAGTGTTAACGCTACGATTAATGCAGCAACTACAGTGTATATCTAAAATGTCAAATATGTCTACTATAGCAGCAGACATATCAAATATGTTTTACATATCTTATTTATTTATTATTTCTATTATATTAGTTTTATTTGTTAAATTTATTATGTTTGCTAGTAGATTGAAACAACGATTTTGTATAAATAGATCAGGAATTCAATCTAGAGAAAAATAGAAAAAATAGCAAGTCGTAAAAGTTTCTTTTAAAAAGATTTAATTAGATTATTCTAGTTTGTGATGATAAGTCTAAAGAAAAGGCTTGTAGAATTCCTAATTAATAAAGTTGTTTATTTTACCCTTTCAAACTTCTTTGTGTCTTTATAAAAGTTTTGATATGAACTACACTAGTGAACTATAATAATTAAATACTATATAAATTATACATCAGACAGACTAAATAAGAAGTAAATAAGTGTTTGTTGATTTGAGAAAAAGAGGAATATCAGGTCAACAATTTAGTAATTCCTGCTAGGCGAAAACTTTATTTGAAAGTCATCGTGATAAATTTGCAATCCTAAAAATTGTGGATAAATTTGAAATTTTATTTTAAATTTCAAGAAACTCATATTGAACAATATAGTAGAAAACAAGAAAAATTATTTACAGATTATACTTGCTTAATTTGTCATCCAGTTCCAGAACAAACATCTCAAAACTTTAAAATTTTTGGCATTGGATTAGTGCTGAATTTGAAGTAATTATATTCACTAGAAAAATGAGTTTTTCTTTAAACAAATAATTGAAAAACTTTTTATGGATTAATTTATATTGATATTGAAATATTAATGGCAATATGGGTATGTAAAACAATATATCACTATTATATTATATGCTTTCAAGTAGTAATACAAAAAATAGTTTACAGTATCTTCTTCTCTAAAGTCATTATCAACACCAAAATAAAAATAAAGTCTATAAATTAATATTTATTTTGTATTATTATTGCTTAATAAACTTGAATCTGATAGTCGTAATTAAAAATTTTTTTTCAAGCTTAAAATTTTCTTAAGTAAATCCAAAATTTAAGTGTTTAATAATTATATACTATAATCTTGTAACTGTAGTATTACGCAAATATTATAGACTGTAAACCTTTTGAAATACTTCAACTGTAGTATCACGTAAACTTTATAGACCATAAACCTTTTAAAGTATTTTGACTGTAGTATTATGCAAATTAAAAATGGGAACCATAATTAAAAAAAATAGAATAATTGAGTTGCAACTTGTAGTGCAATTAAGTTTCCTTATAATGCAATTAAGTTGCAACTCAATTGAAATTTGAAAATAATTATGGGAACCATCTTTAACGCAAACTTTATAGACTGTAAACCTTTTGAAGTATTTTAACTGTAGTATATATGATGGCAAATCTTTTGAAGCATTTTAAACGTAATATAACGTAAATACTACAGATCATAAATCTTATAAAGAACTACATTAAAAATGTAAAATTTATATAAACTTATGACGTAATACTCCAATAAATTTACAAACTGTAAATCTTATACAATACTTTGCATTAAAAATATTTCTGATATAATCTAAGATTATGTATATTTATATATAAAATCACATATTAAGTAGTGATTAGATGCATTATAATTATAATTAGTTATTATGTAATAGAAGTAATACTGTCAAATCTTAATATAACTAATTCTTGATATAGTTAATTTTTAAATCAAATATATTAAATATTACCTTACTATAGTAGACTAGCCAATTAAATTCTTTAAAACATTCATTATAAACTTTTAACTAAGGTTGCTAGATAAAATTCAGAGTTTATACAGACGTTTAAATAGTAAAGTAAAACTTGGTTAAATTATATTAAAATCTTATTGAAAAATTTGCAAAATTTAGAAAAAGGTAAAACTATATCAAAGTTTATAAAAATGGCAAAATGTATCAAACATTTAGTAAAAATTTAGTGAAACTAAAGGTTTAGATGTTTAGCCAAATTCAAAATGAGTTTAGACAAGCAATCTTACTTATAACAAAGTTGAGATTTAGACCATAAGATTCGTTATATTAAAAGTTCACTATAGTTGTGTTTGATATTTATTTCATAAGAATATTATAATATTATCAATATTTAATATTATTACTTTTTTTGTATATTCTGTATGTAAAAAATCAATAGTTTTAAGATGATAATCAGATATAGTAATTTTATATCATATAATGTTATAGTTATAATTAGATTAGAAGAGTATTTATAGAAATATTAGAAATCATAGTAAAATCCAAGTAAATTATTAGATTTATTTTTACATTATTAATAAACTTGCTATGAATACTATAAAGCAAGTAGCATATAAATAGAAGTTGCTTTTTGTATATACTTATAACATTTTATTTTTTAAAAAATGATTAGATGAAATATATAAATTGTCAAAAAGAATTTAATCTTACATCTTTGTCTATCATAATTGCATGAAAATCATCAAATGAGTAAATGAGAAGATTAATTTTTTTTTTATGAATATATAAAAATTTAGATATTATTTCTATTGTTTTAAAGAAGAAAATAATGTTACAGTCAGTTTTTTTATGTTGCTTAGAAGTTATAAGCAGACAGATAATATAAGTGATAAGCAAAAGGTTTAATTTATAGTTGAGATGAGTAAAAGTATAAGTATCAGTCGTTTATTTGATCTGTGATTGTTTAATTTGTTTTCTATTGAACTAAAAATCTCAGATTTATTTATATAAAATAAAATATATAGATTTGTTAATGATATTAACATAGTAAATTAAAAATAATAAATAAACTAAATATAATAAATAAATTAAATAAACTAAATATAATATGTAAACTAAATAAATTAAATAAATTAACTAAACTAAATAAACAAAGTAAATGACATTAATAATGTTGACCAATTTTTATGATCTCCATTAAGAAGATTTTTTGAATGATTTTCATGTAACAATAAGATAGAAGGTAAAGAAAACAGTGATAATAATAGAAGTGAAAATACATAGAGATAAAGGTGAAGGTAAGGAAGAAGACAAAGATGAAAGTTCTATATTAGATTGAAATACAAATGAATGGTTTATCACAATTCTATTATAACATCTAAGCAGATTATATTTCCTATTTGTAAATAACTTAGCAAAGTACTGTTAGTTTGACTCCTTGTAATAGTGTATTTAATTATCATTTTCCATCATATTGACTGCCAACTTGATATATTGTAATCTAGTAAGCATACTTTTCTTATAAGTAAAGTACCTTTAGAATTGGATAATCTTGGGATTATTTTGCATAGCAAATGTTAATATATATTTGAAGCTAAAAACATTTTTAATAAGTGAAATGTTGAATTCTCAAAAAATACTCTAAAATGTCTGTATAAATAATACACCAATCAATTCATTAGTTTAGTCATTTTAATTTTTAGACTTTTTTGGTTAGTATTAATATGATGATCGAATCTCCAGATCTCCCATACCACTTTTGGATTAAATCAAGTTATGAATATAGTAAATCATATGATCCGTAACATGATTTTAATATAAAAGACGCCTAAAAATTAGAACGATGTTATAGGGTGTATTGGTAAGTGATTTTTACGCCCTTTTGATAAATTTGTTACCGGTTATCCTCCGGATGAACTTAAAAGAAATATTTACTTTTGTATCAAAAATATATAATATATATTAATTAAAAATGTTGGATATTTCATTTATTTGGAACAGTGTCCTAAGTAATCATTATTAATATTGCATTATTGTTTAACAATATGAGAGCTAATTATTCAATTTTAATTTTATAATAAATACTACAATATAAAAAAATCGTGTTTTACCTGTTTTACCGATAAATTACAAAAAAGTCTATATAATTAAAAAAAGGAAACAAGCAGGGGTAACGTGGATGAATGAAGGTGATTAACACAAAAACATCTATTACAAATACAACAATTTTGATTATCAAATTTGTGAAACGACAAAAAATTATTATATCGGTTAAAATAAGGTTTTGTTTGTTTGCGATATTTTTTTTTATGTAAAAATGAATTTAGAATTCATTAATTTTTTTGACAACAATCAAATAATTTATTATATTATTCACGATCACGCACCACTTTATGTTTATTAACCAGTAATATAGGGGGGAAAGTGAATGTATACGATAATTATCTTTGTTATTATTACTAAAATATTATTGTAATATTCTAAAATATGAATATGACAAACCGTTGTATAATACATTTTGAAAATTTTAAAAAATACAATTAATCTTATAAGTCATGATGTGTTACGATTTAATTAATTTAAAGTTTAAAGTTTAATTAAATATCAGCTGTCCCTCAGATACTTAATAAAAATTGAAACACTACCGGTGCGGTGATAAATCACCTAAGCTCTAACCCGATCCCTACTCCTAACCTTAACTCTAACTAACATCAATTATACCAGCCAATCGGAGCGGGGTGGGGGTAAATTAGTAAAATCATAATAGATGTTTACAACAAAAATTGATTACTTTGTGTAACGAGAAAAAAACACAAAGCTGATTAATATCCCAGATCAAAGAATATCAATTCCCAAATTTTAATTTGGGTGAAATTAACGTACCCTTTACAGTTAACTTTATGATCCGGAGGTGAAATTAAAATTTCCTTAGCATTCAAAATGATCAAATAATTTGATTTTGGTGTGGATGAAATCTATAAAATTAAAAAATTCATATTCATTTTGAAAAAATTTGCTTTAAAAATATTTGATTCCCTTAAAAATAATTTAGGGCTTAATCTATTACATGCTCTTTTTTTTTGCTCTGGACAACAATGTAAATTAAGTTGTGTAATTTTAATCCGAGATTTTATTTTTTGATTCATGCAGGATTAGCTAATGTCTGAATAATAAATTATATAATCATATAATTATATTGTAGTAAAAATAAAATTGAATAAACTTTAATAGTTCGTTTAGCTAGTTTAAGATTGGACGACCTTTTTATTTTATTTTTTTTTTTAATAATAAACAAGCAATAATGCAGAATGCGTATTGTTTATCAATCAAATATTAATAATAATTTCTTAGGACACTTCAAAATAATTGAAATATCCAATTTTTAATTAACGTAAAGTTTATTTAAGCGTTATTGTCGTAATAAAATGTTATTCTTGTGTTCAAAATATTGGAACCATTAAAAGTGCGTAGTAAAGACATAATATTTGGGAGGCTTGTAAGGAAAATGGGTTCTTTTTTGACTAAAATTTAAATACAATAAAAATCAAAATTTTATTAAAAAATTCTCAGAACCCCATTTTCGTAGCAAACTCAACTCATTGTAAAAAGAGTAAAAAAAAAATTTTCTTTTTTAAGTTTATATAAAATTAACGTCAGTAATAATTCCTTTTAAGTTCATCCGGAGGATAACCGGTAAATTATTTATTACAAATTTATCAAAAGGGCGTAAAAATCAATTACCAATACACCTATAACACCGCTCTAATTTTTAGACATTAAAAACTATATTTTTATTTTTGAAAGTATTAAATAATTATTTTAGAGAATCTAACTCGATAAATTAATACATCAAAAAATTAATGGGGTGTAGATGATGTTTATTGAACTAACCAAAAAAGTCTTAAAATCAACTTAATTTTAACGAGAAATTTTTTATAAATGCGGATAATTTCAATTTATTGTCTTTAGGGCATAAAAAAGCATGTATTATTTTTTTGAACCCGAGACATTACCTTCCCTAGATAAAGGCCCAAAGAGAAGAAAACCAAACATGTTTATAATGTATCGTAAAGATATGATGAAACACAAACCCCATAATATGCCCATGACAAAGTACAGTAAGCTAGTCTCAGAATGGTGGAAAAAGCTTTCTGCGGACGAAAAAGCGCAATTGCAACGAAAATATCAAATAGATCGTGATCAAAAATTACAAAATGAAGTCAATGCAGCCAATGCACGTGATGTAGCCGAGACAAGAGAAGAAATCGAATATGAAAATTCGAGATATCAAGATGAAGTCAATATTTTACCTAAGGGAATGAAAAAAGATTGTTATTTCACATAATGTCCTACGGAAAATTTTGAAGATATCAAAGATTTTAAAGATTTTATTCAACGTATTTCATTCTAATAAATGTTTTTATTCGTAGTTTATTTACTTTTATTCGAGTCATTTTTATTTCCATTTTACTCAATTGATAAACAATAATTATATATCGTAATATTTATTTTCCTATCGCAATTTGTTATTTATTTTTTTCTATCGAAACTTCTTTCGTTGTTCGCTTTTTTTTACAAAGTTTATTAGCATATGTTCAAAGGCAAAAATATATTATTAAAAAATCTGAATATTATTTACAAACATTTACGTTAAGATTTTATGTTTTATATCTTTTCCGCTAATTATTTTTTTTTGAATTGGATTATTTAAATTAGTTGATAAAATATATAATAAATTTATAAATTTTTTATGGCCATGGTTAGTAATTATTTTTATAAAATGTTCCAATGTTTTTTTTAATGAAACATTACAAATGGGATCGCGCATAATTACGCGTCAAGCTTCAGGAATATTACCAATATGATAAAATAAGTGAAATCAATTTATTATTTTTGCAACCTTGTAATAACATATTGGGTGAATTCCCATTAAAATAAAATTTATGATCCTATTTGATCAAATATTTTGATTTTGGTGTGGATGAAATCTACAAAATTAAAAAGTTCATTTCCACTTTGAAAAATTGGCTTCAAAATATTTTATTCCCTTAAAAATAATTTAAGGCTTAATCTAGTTGATAGAATAAATACATGAATCGACGCCACCTTCACAAATTTCCTAATCCAAAACCACACTTTATTATCAATTTTGCTCTGGACGACTAAGTTGTGTAATTTTAATCAGAAATTTCCTGAATATTTTTTGATTCATGCAGCTGTTTAAATGCCGTATAGCTGATTAGGCTAATTTCAGAAAAATAAATGATATAGTCATATAATTAGCGGCGGATTTTAATAGTTCCTTTTACCTAGTTTAAGGTTGGATGATCTTTTTTTTTTATATTGGTAAACAATAATGCATGACAAATCAAAATATTAATATGGACACTTTAATACATCAAAAAAGCAATAAAATGGTAACTGAAATGAAAATTTATTTGGGCGGAACTTAACGCGTATTTGGGACAATACCCCATTTAAACTATAATATACACGAGCAAATTTTTTATATAAATGTGCATAATTTCGATTTATTGTCAATCGACATAAAAAATAAAGTCCTTTCTTCATCTTATCCTTATATTATAAATTATAAGTTATGTTCTATTTTATTGAACCCGAGACATTATCTTCCAATGAAAAGGCCCAAAAAGGAAACATAAACCCATAATATGCCTTTGACGAAATTAGTGCTCTGAAGGGGTCTGGTCGGGGTTTTCAGAGAAACCCGAACCCGACCCGAGAGTGTAAATGAACTGTTAAAAATATTCGGGTCAGCATTTATAAAACCCGTACTCGACCAGACCCGAATATAGTTTAACTCGGAACAACCCGAGTGTTATGGAAGATAGTAATGTCGAGAAACTAATTTCGATATTAATATTCTATTCTACCGGGAGTTTTATAAAATTTATTATAATATATTTGAATTATTTATTGTAGTAAGTATTGTTTATTATCCCTTCAATGGTTTTCCTTCAAATTTAGAAGGAATTTTACTTACATTTTAAAGTCAATTTTAAATATATTAAAAATTAATTATTAAACTAATAATATTATTATAATAAAATTTATGATGTTTTAAGTAAATCAAAAAAAAAATTACATTAAATATTAACTTTTTGCATTAATTTAAGTTCAAAGTTTTAAAAATATTTTAATAAAAGTATTTTCTTTATAAAAGCTAAAATTTTTAATTTTTATTTATTTTTATAATATTAAAAAAACTTTACAAAATATATAAATTTATATTTAAAACATTTATTTATATATTTAAATATTATTTATTTATAAAAAAATCATAAATTTAAAGTTGAAAATTTTGTATATATTTAATATTTTAATTATTTATTTAAAAATAATAGATTTATAATCATATTTTAAAAAAAATTGTTTTTATATATAGAATTTTGCATAATAATTGATTGAAAATCATGACTAAATTTGAATAAAAATCATTACCATTTAAGGGATAAATGCATCGAAAAATTAATCTCATTTAACTTCAAAACCTGGATTTCAGCACATACATGCACAAGTTTTATTTGCTTATGCAACAATGTTTTGCTGCTTGCAAGCTAAAATCTACCATTTCTTTGCTGGTATGATATTCATTACCAATATTACGAATACAAGTTTTATTTCTAATTATTTCAAAAATACTTACGTACAGCTAAGACAATTTTACTTCCCGATGAGTTTTAGCATTTTTTAAGTATCAATGGAAGATCATTTTCTTCAAAAACTTCTTTTGTAAAAAGTTCACTATGTAAAGCTTTTCATTTTTGAATAGTTTAACTTCCAGAGTAAGATGAATAGATTCGCTTGTTGTTTAATTATTTTTAATTAAAGTAGCGTAATATAAAATGAATAAAGAAGTTTTAAATTTCTCTTGTATTACAATTGGAATCATACGATTACCTGGATTATGCAAAATATGACCTGACCCGAAAGGTTCCCTAACCTGACTCGACAACTTAATAACCTGGTCGACCTGACCAGTTCAGAGCACTAGAGAAAATACAGCAACTAGTATCAGAATGGTGTAAAAAGCTTTCTGCGAACGAAAAGACGAAATTGAAAAGATAATTTCAAATAAATCGAGATCAGAAATTAAAAATGATAACAGTTCAATGACCAAATTATTTCTCAATCTGATGTAAACAAGATAAGAGAAGATGAGATAAACCAAAATTGTCGAGATCAAGCTAAATATGAATATACAAAGATCAAACCATATATTAAGCCAATACTTTACCCAACCGAAAATCCTTTTAAAGACATCAAAGATTCATTCAACATATATATCTTTTGTTGTATTTTATTTATTTAAACTATTATCATTTTCCCTTTTACTTGAATACTTCTTAAAGTATCAGAATTAAATCGAAAAAATTTTCTATTTAAAGACGTTGTAATAGTGTAAAATTTTGGCTAAAATCTGATTACAAATCCAATGTTAATTAAATGTCCTTGTTTATTATCTCATCGATCCTGATGTCAACTTTATGTCTTGAGATAATCAATGTAAAACATTGTAGATCCAGATGTCAATTTTATTTCCAGTATAACGGGCAACTTTATTGACATGATAATCTTTGCTGATCAATTTTGTCAACTTTATTTCCTTGATGATGTCATTTATTTTTCATAGATTTATTTAGTTTAGTTCATTTTATAATTAT